GTGAGGGGTAGATCATGCCTCACAAACCTTATTGAATTCTTTGAAGAGGTGACCAAACATGTGGATGATGGTAGAGCAGTGGATGTGGTATACATGGATTTAAGTAAGGCGTTTGATAAGGTTTCCCATGGTAGGCTCATGCAGAAGGTAAGGAGGCATGGGATAGGGGGAAATGTAGCAGATTGGATTCAGAATTGGCTGACCCTTAGAAGACCAAGGGTGGTAGTGGACGGAAAATATTCAACATGGTGCTCAGTTACAAGTGGTGTACCACAAGGATCTGTTCTGGGTCCTCTTCTATTTGTGATTTTTGTAAATGATTTGGATGAAGGAGTGGAAGGGTGGATTAGAAAGTTCGCGGATGATACAAAGGTGGGTCACGTTGTGGAGAGTGTGGAGGCCTGTTCAAGGTTACAAAGGGACATTGATAGAATGCAGAGCTGCGCTGAGAAGTGGCAGATGGAGTTTAACCCTGAAAAGTGTGAGGTGATTCATTTTGGAAGGACAAACTTGAAAGCAGAATACAGAGTTAACGGAAAGATTCTTGGCAGTGTGGAGGAGCAGAGGGATCTTGGGGTTCATGTTCACAGTTCCCTGAGAGCTGCCACCCAGGTGGATAAAGTTGTTAAGAAGGCGTATGGTGTGTTAGCTTTCATTAGTAGAGGGATTGAGTTCAAGAGCCGTGAAGTTATGCTCCAGCTATACATAAGCCTGGTTCGGCCACATCTGGAGTATTGTGTCCAGTTCTGGTCACCTCATTACAGGAAAGATGTGGAAGCGTTAGAAAAGGTGCAGAGGAGATTTACCAGGATGTTGCCTGGAATGGAGGGAAGGTCTTCCGAGGAAAGGTTGAGAGAGCTAGGGCTTTTCTCTTTAGAATGACGAAGGATGAGAGGTGACTTGATAGAGGTGTACAAAATGATCAGAGGTATAGATAGAGTAGACAGCCAGAGACTTTTTCCTAGGGTGGAGGTAGCTTTTACGAGGGGACATAGTTTTAAAGTGAAAGGAGGTAGATATCGGGGAGACGTCAGAGGTAGGTTCTTTACTCAGAGAGTGGTAGGGGCATGGAATGCATTGCCGGAGAGGGTAGTGGAGTCGGCCTCGTTAGGGGCATTTAAGCGGCTATTAGATAGACATATGGATGATAGTATAAGGTAGAGATGCAGGTTAGGTAGACCTTAGGTTTAGGGTAAAAGTTCGGCACAACATCATGGGCTGAAGGGCCTGTACTGTGCTGTACTGTCCTATGTCCTATGTTCTATGTTCTATGATGAAGTCAGCGAGCAGTGTGATACCAGTGAGACAGGTCTTGGAGCAGTCTTCATGGAGCAAAGACAATCATTTGTGTTTCTATCCAGGGTATTAATACAAATTGAACCACACTACAAATGGGTTGAGAAAGATTGCCTGGTTATTATCTATGCTTGTGAACATTTTAATCAATATATTTTTGAGAGAGAGAAAGTGATGGTAGAGTCAAACCACAAGCTGCTTAAAATATTTTTTTCAAACCAAAGTCTCTACAAAGAATTTTCACCATCTGTATTAATATTGCCTGATGTGACTTCATATCAACTTTGTATTATGTTAAAGATTCTAAATGAATACAAGATTTTGTTATTGCACAACTCCAATTGCTTTACCTTTTAATTCTCGCTTTTCTCCTGTTAGTGATGAGGTATTAGTACATAACTGGTTGCAGCCCTCTGGTAGCTGTACACATAGACATTCTTTACCTGAGGGCTTTTACGGTGAGTATTGTCAGAGTAATTAACAATGGTGAACATCCTATGTGCTCACCTACCATCCATTACATCTTACTGAGAGTCACGTATAACAATCAGACGTAGGAACATAAAAGAGACATAAAGTGTGACAGGATTTTTCTTAACATTTAAAAGCATGGTCTCAACTGAATCATTAGGGAGATACAAAGGTAAGGATAGAGTCACCATAGTTCTACCAACTGCTGTCTCCGAACTCCTGTCTCATTAGAGGGATGGTTTAACCTGAGGGTAATCACGTTTCAGGCAAGGGGACAGGTAGAGGAAGAGAGTCCTTCTGGCAACTTCAGCCAGCGGGGGAATTGAACCCACACTGTTGGCATCGTTCTGTATTGCAAACCAGCCATCCAGCCAACTGAGCTAACTGACTGCTGATTGAATCGCTTGTGATAGTTAATTCAATTTTTTTATCATATTTCCTGATATCTTCAATTCATCGAAATCCATTTTGACATGAGTCAAAGTTATAATAATGGTTCTGAGCATGTTTTACTTGAGTAGGGATTTAAGATCTCGGCAGTGCATTTTCTCCCTGTTTTCTGCCCACTCATTAAATAAATAAGTGAAGGAACAGAGTAGGGAAGACAATAAAATCATTCTGCCTTTAAAGCGTTTCCTATAAGCATTCTCCTGTTTCAGCATCTCACCTGTTGTCCACCAACCAAGCCTATTGTTTTTGCTCTGGCTACAAATACCTGCATTTGCAGATGTCCCTTACTTGGAGTTTTTGAGACTCAAAACCCTAAGCACAGTAAAGGCTTTTCAGGAACAAGTGCAGCATTATCTGGGGGTAACTATTCACATATTCCTGTTAGGTGTCACCTGAAGACCAGACATACGGGAGCTAGTTGTCTGCTTATGCAGTACAGAAGACTCATGGGAAGGAGATAACTGTCTACTGTTGTGCTTTTTCGATCCACTGCTCTGGTGCTAAGGAGGATTAGCTACAGGTCTGGTATGTATTGCTGCCTGAGTAGTGGTCAGTTTCATGCAGTTCTGACTCCTAGGTTATAGGGTACTCATTCTTTTATCTTCCTTCCCAAATACCACATGTTGCTGTGATGGATCCACAGTAAAGAAGGATAGAATAGAGATGCATTTTCCACCTCAGGATTAGGGAGACTGAGCAAGGGTTAGAAGGTATTGGTTAGTTGGTGTTTAACAGCTATGCCGTTGTGGTGGTATAGGTATTCATTCAATAATGATGCCTACAAGATGCTATTGATGTTGCCATCACCAATAACAAGAACTGAAACTTTCCTCAGAGTTCCACAGTCTTGTCCTTGAGATACTAAAGGTTGAGAAACGTTCCTCAAATGTCCTGCTTGTATCAGGCATTGTGTGCTAATTCTCCCTGCAAGAAGGAGCGAACGAGTTTCAAGTTAGCTGCTGAGTGTACCAAGTCGTAGGTGAGAGGGGGTAAAAGAAGTATGGACGTGAAGCTTTTGGAGAAGCTATTTAGATGCATGTCAGTAATTACTCTGGGATGAGTTGAAGAGGAGATAGGTGGCGCAGGATGCTGAATTTGAGTGGCTTTTAACCCAGAGATTAATATGAAGGAATAATTCTTACAAATGCAGCTTTTTAGGGTGAAGAGTAAGTCGGTACCTAGAGTGGCCAAGGAGTGTACAGTGTGTTAGCTTTCCTGTCCTAAGGATGAGCAGCTTCTTGTGGGATGTTTCTGGGACTGAGGGACTCGGCAGACAGTGTCTCCCATAAGGTGACCTTACACCGAAGAATCTGTTTGGCCTGCCTTCTGTAGATTCCAGTTGTCAGCTGCAACTCATCTGGTAGCACTGTTGCTTCTGAGTCAGACAGTCATTTGTTCTTAAGTCACACTCTTGAGCACATAGTCCAGCCTGGTATTTCAGAGCAGTGGGATGGGATGGGACATTTCAAATCAGAGTTAAACCAAAGCCTTGCTTGCTAACTTGGGGAGATATAAACAACCCTATGATACTACTCAAAGAAAATAGGGGAGTTCCTGGCCAATATCCATCACAAAACATATCAATAATGTTTTTATTGCATTGCTACTTATGGGACCTTGCCATGCATAAAAAGACTGCCGCATTACCCTACATCATAAACTGGCTAAAACTATAAAAATTACATTGTTGGACGTAAAGTATATTGCGTTATCCTAATGTTGCAAAAGATGCTAAATAAATGCAGATTTGTTCCAGAAGCCTTTTGAAGGTCTCTATATGTCACTTTTGGCTTGTTGCTGTGCCTGAGTGTCATTGTCATGTTCAAGTTCAATAGAAACATTCCTAAAATTATCCAGTGAAGTAACATACTTTTTTCCTCTGTTACCTGTTGTCCCCAGTCTGCTGTTAAAGGGTGCAAGGTGAACTGACTTTGCAAAGGATGCAAAGTTTCCCATGTAGTTCAGCTGCTTGAACTAGTACAGAAACCAGAACACCTGCAGTTATAGGCAGACCGAGGACATTTTAGAGGCAGCTGGCTGGTACAAGACTTTAAGTGGAAGCAGCATGGAACTCTTTTGAAGGAATATCTAGACCCATTACTCTTGCATTTTAAAAAAAAATAAATTGTTTTAACTGATATGATAAAGTTCTCATATTTCTGAATTGCTAATTTTAAATCTGAGTACGGATATAGAATTTGCAGTGGAAACATGGTTCTGCTTCAAACCAGTGCTGTAAGTTAAAGTTCAAATGTTAGGGTGTGATCTGACACCAGAACAAATTAAAATGTATTTCAATAGGTGTACTTTGTTTCAGAACTTTAGCATCCAATTAATGCCATACAAGTTACTGCAAAACAAAGCTTTTGACCTTACTTAAAACACAGTACTGACTTTCAAAGAATCTCTTCCACCTATGATGAATTGGATGAGTGTGTACTAAGACAAGAGGTTCTATTAGTCCTACCTATGACTTGACATTACAGTAATCCTTAAGCAATTAATATTAGTGGTTCTGTTCATTGACATGTTTAACTTTAAATGTGGAAATGTGGTCTCTTATTGCTTTCAACACTGTGTAACTCAATATAAACAGGCAAAGCAATCTTACAGTAGCATTTTGAAATGCTGCCAGGATAATGATAATATTTTATGAATAATGAATCTTCGTGCAAATTGTGAAAACTGATGTTATCAAGGTACAGAAATTGATCCTGTGTGATGAGGTGTTTTGATGACTCTAACAGCAGCGTTATAAACACGAATTGTATCTTTTCTTGTAGGTCATTTCCTTGGGAACAATACAGTGATTGATGTCCTAAGGCAAGCAGGCTATGAAGTTGAGCATACACCTGCAGGACAGCCATTCGAACTGTAAGTGCATTGCACAATTCTGTGCTGTTTTCAGTTCAGTTTCAGTACATTACAACGGGGGAACCATTCCTTGGTAGAGAAAAGGGACAGAAACATAAAATGATCAAAAATAGGAGCAGGAGTAGCCAATTCAGTTCATCAAGCCTCCTTCACCATAGATTAAGATCATTGGCTTACCTTGTAGTCTTAACACTACTTTCTACCAGCTCTCCATGACCCTTAACTCCCTTGTTAAACAGCGCCTTGAACATAGTCAATGATCCAATCTCCACTGATTTCTGTAGAAAAAGAATTCCTCCCTCGGAGGAAATAAATGGGCCCTCATCTCTGTCTTGGAGACCCCTTATTTTTTGAACTGTGCCATTTCACTTCCAACATGTAAATGATGTGAAGGCAAGCAATTGAGGACCGTGCACCAAACAGTGCTGATTGAAAAGGTGTAGTTTTTAACACCCTGGTGAAAGGGAAGACATTTTCATATTGTGGGCACAAGTAATTGTTTAAAGGAAAATGCAGGGGGTCATGCAGTAAGATCAGAAATCGACTTGAATGGAGTGCAATATGAAGGGTTGATTTTTCAACAGTAATCTTTAGACTGTGAAGGGTGCCCTGGTGACTAAGGTGCCAAACGAAGAAAACAGAGAGTGGCAGATGAATGCCCTTGCCTGCTGTGGTCAGGTCATCGAGTTTTCTCTGGCACCAGTGTGTAGTCTTGGGGGTGAGAGAGTTGTAAGTCAGTGCCATTTCCATTTCGCTCAATGAATAACATTTTTGGCAGGTTTCCTATATACTGTTTCAGCCAGCAAGACATGCAGGTCAAACTCTGCGGAGTTTTGACATTTTCTCAGCGTCTTGAATCAAGCCATGCTCCATCTTTTCTTTGCCTTACCCCATTCTCCTGTGACATTCTTTTAAAGCAGCACAAGAATAGTCAGAAGTCACCAGTCAAGCTGTCACTTCGGAGCCATGCACTTTTATCCCTGCCCTCTTATCCCTGCCGTCTTTCTAGGTTGGTGCTCTCGCTGTCTTCAGCCATAACTTTAGAAAGGCTTTCCAATGATTTCAATTTAATTTCCAAATATCCCAGCAAATTGTTACCATTTCACATGAGATTTACACTGCTGAGTACTCTAATCAAAGTAAAGATGGCCACCACATGCCATTTTGTTACAAATAGGCGTCTAAGCTATCAAACAGCTGCAGTACGATTACAAATTACAAGTACATCTTTTCAAGTGAATTAAATGCAATAAACCACACTGTGCTCTAGCTGAGATGGTGGCCTTCACTCTTGGCCAGATCTAAGGTAGAGAAGGAAAACTGCCATCCTCATCTGGTCTGGCCTACATGTGACTCCAAGCCTACAGCAATGTTGTTGACTATTAACTGCCCTCTGGGCAATAAATGCTGCCTAGCCAGCGACACCCTCATCCCGTTAATGAATAAGAAAAAAAAATGCAGTACTCCCTGCGGCTACAGTTAAGGTGGAAGCAGCGTGTTTACTTGTTTTGGCTTGTGGCTGATGTACCACTGGCAGTTTCTTATCACGGAGATGCCACAGTAGATGCTTCCAGAGATTTCTGCACTGATATCAATACACGATAAGCTTTCATTACATGTCTATGCTGCACTGTTGTTCCCTGTCAGAGTGGTCAAGGAGGTCAATGATGATGGTGGGTTCCAGGAGGGGTTGCTCCCTCGCCCTCTTTGCTGCTGATCTAAGTGGAGCTTGTTTCTCCTGACTGTTGAGACTCTGTACCACCAGCAGGCAAAGCCAGGCTCGAACTTTCTTTCATTTTCTGAGAAAGACATCCCACTGCTGCCTCTGCCTCGCTCATCTCCTGCTGACCACCCATTGCCACTCTTCCCCACCATGTGCAAGGGCCCACCAGTTTGAGTGTATCTGTACTGGTGGAGTGTATGCTCATATAATGAGACAGTGTTTCAGCTTTTTAAGAGATGTTCAGTGATGCTGTGACCCTTCCATGATCCTCCTCCACAACTGATCCTGTGGGAGAGACAAAGAGGTTGGGTAAACTTTACTGTGACAGACACAGCCTCTGCAGTAAGGATGTTTCCTTGTTCAGTTGAGGCATTAGTGTGATGTCAGGCAGGGAGGAAGGCACCTACCCCCCTCACCTAACAATCTCGATATCTTTTCACCCTCTTCTCTAGGTATTCCCATCTCTCACTTTCTCTCTTCCTTGGTCTCTCTGTCTTGCTCGCTCTCTTCTCTCTCTCTCTCGCTCTGTCTCTCTCACTCACTTTTGCTTTCGCTCGCTGGCTCTTGCTCGCTCTCGCTCTCCAGCAGCTGTCATGCAGGACAGCCTGGTAACATTGATTACCATCAGTGACTGTGAGGATGGTGAGCTGAGGCACTCTCACTCCTGTGCATGTCTGTCCCCCAACCTTAATCCAAACCCTGGTCTCCTCCTGCAAAGACAATAGAGAGCGATAAGACAATGCTGACTTCTCTGACCAATGCCAACAGCACATTTCAGTAAGAGATTTCATGTATCAGTGTTGCCAGATCTTCAACAGCCCAGAAGGAAAGACGAGTTAAGAAAGAAGTGATACTTAAAAATAATGAATGTAATGATCCTACTGATTCTCCATTTGATTTCTGTTAGTTTAGTATGCCTCATTCACCAATTCTGTTGGGTTTTCCTTCTGGGAATGTGTGCATTCTGGTTCAGTGATCTGAACCTGGGAAACTGTATTCCCACAGTGCACCTTAAGACTGATCAGTTGGTGAATCTCCTGTTAGCTGCAAACCTAGAGCACTGTCATCTGGCTCTAGCATTGTACTCACTTTTCCAAACAGAAGAAGTTAGTTCAAGCTTTTATGTCACTGCACCAAGACCCTCAGGATGGCACTTCAATGAGTGACAATTGCTGCCACCTCAAGCCAGGCCCCCTTTGTTTTGCTGAGTAGCCTGCTCGTGAAACATTCCCAAAACAAGATCGCTCGCCTCTCTTTCACTACCTTCAGCAGCACACCAGTAGCTACAGCTGGGACCAGCTGTGCCCCATGTTTCAAGTCTCTGCCTCTCCTGGTGAGCTGAGGCTTGCCACAGTGATGGCTGCCATGATGCCTGTAGATCAAGCTCACACTTGCTTCAATTCTGCACCCACTGGTGTGAATTGGATCCCACCTGGCCCACCATCCAGCTAATGGGCTGTTGATGCTGGTGTAAGTTAAGGCTTTGTTTGGCTATTTCACTCTCAGTTGTGAGCTGAGCCCTGGAAATGGTTCCACTGTCGGGTTCCAGATTCCAGAAATAACATCCTGATCACAGCTTCAATCCCCTTTCTAATGTCCCTGAATTTCTGGGAGTTTCTTGGATGGCTACTTCTGGCGAGAGGGTAACCATTACAATTCTATTTTAATAGGGTGGAAGTGATATGACAATGTACCTGCTTCGTTAAGCACTCTGTAAGCTAGCTAACCTAGCCTATCTGGAGACCACACTGAGCAACTAGCTATTATGAGTTTCTCACAGCTCAGTTTTGGTCAGAGATCTGAGAAACTGCAGATTGGCAGAAATTGACAAGAAAGAGCTGGAACTTCTTTCTCTCCAAGAACCCAAGAGGATCTCAAGTGCTGAAGTTCTGCCCGCTGCCACTGACCAACACTAGACAACCCATTGTCATGACTTCTTCAGGCCTATAGCAGTAATCCGTATTCTTCCCCTAACAGCGTGGAGCTGGGGGAACACAGCAGGCCAGGCAGCATCAGAGGAGCAGGAAAGCTGATTTCTTCAGAAATTTTTTTTCATTTTTCTGAAGAAGGGTCCTGACCCGAAATGTCAGCTCTTCTGCTCCTCTGATACTGCCTGGCCTGCTGTGTTCCTCCAGCTCCACACTATGTTATCTCTGATTCCAGCATCAGCAGTTCTTACTATCTCTGAGTATTCTTCCTCTGATTTGTATGCAGCCTCCTTCTGAGAAGGAGGCCAGCACTGAAGAAATATCAGAGCATATTGGAGTGACCAGAGAGCAGAAAAGTCATGTTGTAGCAGGAACAGCACATTTCCTGTCTGACTTAACAAGCCGTTAGAATGTTGAAGAAGATTGGCCTTCTAACTGCCAGGCCAATCAGGTCATATACGTAATATTAAACATGAATCACTGTTAGGCCTACTTTTTGTTTCGCCATTCCGTCATGTCAGTGAATTGGCAACCTGAACAGAAAGGGCTCCAGGAGCCCTGATGGGATTAAATGCCTCTCGTGAAGTCTGTGAAGTGCCTTCCAGGTCCCCATAGTTTTCAAGGTAAAGCTTCCACTTTTGTAAAGTGAGGGAAATCAGATACTCGATAGCTGTTCAGTCTCTGGGACTGCAGCCAATAGATGGGGACCCAACAAGAATGTAGTGCACTGGGCTCACAGAAGCCAGTCAGACATGTCACAGCAAGAGGGAGGCGTGGAGCTCGAGGGAGTTGTTTAGGCCAGTGGAGGCACATGGCAGTACTTCCCATTGAGAGGGCCCTGTTTAGGGCACAGCATGCCCAATCAGGCAGACAGCCCCCAAGGCCAGGGCACTAGCAAGGATATACCTGGTACAAAGTCCTTAATTGGTTATTACTTGGACATAAGGATTTCAGTTGGTTTTGGGACAGAAAGACCAACCACAACAATCCCTGTCCCAGACTTAATGGAGTCAGGAAGGCAATAAGATCTCCACCCTGCTCCATCCAATCCAATTATACAAACCTTCCAGCCCACCACTGGGGAGGCAGTAAACCCACTCAAACTGTGCACTTGACAGACTGTGGTCTTGAATTCTTGTCAGATTAGGATGCCTCTTCACAATGTACTCCGTGCATTTGAATGGCAACTTACATGCTACTCACTTGTTTGGAATGGGTATTATAATTAAGACGATTGGAAAGAAAGCATTTAGTCTTTGATGATGTACTCCTTAATATAAAGTTGTCTCTTTTCTTGCTGATTTAATTTGTTCATCAAATTGACAAATACTGTATTGCAGGTTAGATCC